TTCAACCGTTTGTTTCTTCCTATTGTCTCAGTTTTCTATATTGTGTTTTTTCTTTCTATATTGTGTTTTTGCTTTCTGATTAACCATCAAAGAATAAAAATGAAGTAAGAATGTGACAAAACAACCATCTCAGCTGGTTTCTTTCTGACTGTTTTCTTACCTACAAGGAAAATAAGGAAAGGGGGGAAGACACTATCAGTAATAAAAACTGGCTTTAATTTTGCAAGCACCCAAAATCATGGGTGTTACAGGGAAGTTCTACCACTCGAGTGTATTTTAAATATATCCATGGAAAAGAATCAGAGAAAGTCCAAATACTTACAAATTACAACATCATTTAAACTTTAAAATGCTTTGTTTTGTTGTTTGAAACAATTCTAAGCTCAGACATGTGCTGGCACTCTTAACAGGGAAATGAGCTATGCCTGATCAACATTCTGACAAAAGGAAAACCTATAGCTGCAGTAGTACCTGAGTGGCTTGCCACTCCTGATGGTTAAAAAAAGCAAAGATGGATTCGGTGAGACAATGGCTGAGTCTGTGTACTACCATAAAAGATAAATTATTCCCTGCCTTTGGGGGAAATCTGAGCTAGTTGACATGTGTGAAGATTTTTTAATTTATCAGGAGACAGTAAGACAAAAGAGATTTGCTGAAGGTGCGCAATCAAATGGTAATCTATTGGTCTGGGTTGGGCTTTTTGTTTTAAATCAAGGAGATTAAAGCCATGATCCAGATTATTAGCTCACAACTATGAGAGCAGTGTAAAAGCTACCACTGAGCTAGATCTAGCCCTCCAGCTAAGACATGGTAGCCCCTCTCCAAGGAGTTTGGATTTGGTAAGAGCATGTCTCCAGCACCAAGCACTCAGCCTCATAGAGATTCCCAAATTTTGGGCTGAATGTTCGAGTTTTGGTACCAGAATTCACATAATCATCCCAGCATAATGATGGCAGACAAAGCAAACACGCAGATGGACAAAGTTGTCCAGAGGATTCAAGCCATGCTGAAGGCCTTACTTGCTGCTGTTTATAGCTAATCTGCATTTGCCATTACAGTCTTTGCAAACAATCGTGGATTTACTGTTAGTATCCCTGGTTTACACCTTTTCCCTTCTCCCAGTTATTATACAGAAATAACCCACAGAAGCAAATGGTGCATCTAAGCAATCATGGAGGGGAAATGTTCAACTACCAAGAAGCACGCAGCAAAGAAATGACGGTAAGAGGAAAAACACCTCTCCATCTATGTACAGCATTTGTCATAGGAGTAGGTAAACACTTTGCAGGGAGAAATACGATGATGCATCATGGAAACCTTTTAAAAGTCATTTCTAACAACTATTCACTATCACAGTAGTCATTAACAGGTTGCCAGGAGAGAAAATAAAAGCTTCTGTTTCCATACAGTCTGTACTCGATGTTATTACTATTGTATCAATGCCTAGAAATGATAATGGGATGAAGGCCCTCCCCAGCTGGGCCCTGTAAAAAAACCATACTGAAAAGTTGTCATGAACCAACAAACAAAGGGAGTTTTATTACCCTTGTCTTTGTACATGGGAAGTTGAGGCATGTCATGTGCAGTCACCCTTGCCATGGCTGCATGGTGACCTGTCCTCATCCTCAGACCTGGTCCTTACCCACCCTGAGCATCATTTTCCCCGTCAGGGAGGGCATCAGGCAGGAAGACAGGTATCTCTCAGTCCCCACTTCCCAGGATCACAACCCAAATCCCTCTATCCCTAAATCCCTCTGGCTTTTGGCAGGCCAGAAGCCACTCCTAGAACCTCTGATGCCACAGCCCCAGGTCCTGGGTGGCTCCCAGGAGGCTCCATCTGAAGGTCTGGCAGAGATGCAGGGAGCCCCATGTGGGTGCTGTGGACCTCTCCTTTGGGCATCTTCCCTTTTCACCACACCAGAGCTGCCTTTGTGGTGTTTTCATTGCCACGGGACTGGGAAAGCCCCGCTCTGGTGCCTCTGCTCCCCAGGATACGTCCTTCCTTTCCCTCCCCTGCTCTGCTCCTTACATGAATACATTTCCCTCTCTTTTTGTTTTGGTATTTATTTTCCCCCCCTTTTCCCATTACCCCATTAATGCAGAGCAGGGCTGCTGATTACAAAAGAGGCAGTTTGACTCGAGCAATAGGTCTTCTTCACTAATCCTCACTGTCATGGAAATTCCAGCTGCTACAAGAATAAGAGGCTCAATCCATATTTGCCAGCTCTAATATGAAATCTGTCAGGGCCCAAATTAATGAGTTCCAAATTCCTTACATCACGATAACAGGTTAAGACTGGTCAATTAATTACATAAATCCTTCCCGATTCATTGTGCATTTTCAGGCGAGACTGTGTCTTACATAAGTGGGTGACACAAGGCCTTTTGGTGCCCGCTGTTCCGCAGAAAGGCCTCCATTTGGAAGCAGCCTGCCTGCCGCCGGGCCATGCCCCATGTCGCTCCCTGGCTTTGCGCTGGGCCCTAACTGCTTTTGTATCAAAACTATTTAAATATTACGATAATAAAAATAGATATAAAAGCATTATTTAAGACTGGGGAGCGCGGCTCCGGCGCGGGGGCAGCAGCGACACCCACAAACGTGAGAACGTTTTCCAGCCCCTGCGCACCCGCGGGCGCGCACCGCGCTGCGCCCCGCCCGGCTGCGCGCTTCTCGCTGCCAAACAGCGCCCCCTGGCGGCGGAGGCGCGGGGCGGAGGCGCGGGAGGGGCGCGGGAAGGAGCCCAGGCGGCGGCGGGGGGAAACGGGATGGGGTGTGGGGCGCGGAGCCGGTCCCAGCGCTGTCCCCTGCCCCCCCGTGTTGAAGCGGGTAGGAGCTTTCCGCCCCCCGCCGTTGCCATGGGCTGCGGTTGCCACGAGTTACCGGATCAAGGCCGACCCCCCGCACCTTCCCCCCCCCTCGGGCACTCGGGGTGCTACGCGTGCGCGCACGCAACCGCCGTCAAGCGCTCACACCGGGAGGCGGGGGGAGTGAGGCAGCGGCGGGCGGGGCGGAGCGGAGCGGAGAGCACGGAGGCCCCAGGTAAGGAAGTCGTCCCGCTCCGCGGCAGCGCTGGGAGAGGATGGGGCGCAGCGATGGCGGTGCCCCGAGGACCATGACGTGGGGCGCTGCCTGCTTTACCCCCCCACCCCTTTATCACTCCCCTCTCCCATCTTTTTCTGAGTCCTCATCCGCTCTCTCCCCGTCGGCAAGGCGCGGAGCAGCGGGCGGCGGCACCCCGCCGAGGGGACGCGCTCACCGACCCGTGCTGCCCGCCTTGGCACCCAGCGCTCCGGGACTAGGGCCCAAGGAAAAAGGCGTTCAAAGGTTATTCGAATCTTGGGCTAAGGGAGTGTTACTGCAGAAGCTTTAACACGTTACAGAGTGTTTTTAACATCGAAGAGAACAACCCTGCCTTTCCTAAAGCAGTTAATCCTGCCAGGGAAAGGATGAACGTGATACTGGAAATAATAATTCACATTTTTGCAAGATCCTAGAAGGGAGAGGAAAAATGTGGACGCCGTGGTCATTAGCCCGGCAGTTACAGAGCGACACAGCGGGTTTATTCTCCTCACACACTGGCTTTAATTGCACCTTGAATTTTACAACAGATCAAGTCACAAATACCGTGCCTATATAATTTAAATATTGCTCTGGGAAAAAAAAATAAAAATCTCACATGTCAAAAAATAAAACCCAAAATCCCACCCGCCCCCCCCCCCCCAAAAAAAAAAAAAGCAACCCGTACATTAAGAGCTGTGTAGTGTTGTAAAGTGGGGCATTTAAGAGTATAAATTTTCTCAATGCTTAAAAGAAACTACATTGTTATGTATACAAAAATTTTCATTCCAAAAGACAGTCTTCCTCTCATTTATTCATTTCTTTATATTTTCTACAAAACAATGACAGCAAACACAAGCACAACAGTGTCTATAACACATAGACTTATATTACAAAAATAGGGTAATTACAGTGAGTCATAAAGCGATTAGGATATTGATACTGAAATAAAGGAAACCCTTAGTGGCAGGTTTAAATGCAAAATAGAAAGTAGTAACTTGTTTTATTTAATTACTTAAAGGCTTTTAAGAAATCATAAAAAACAGGATATAAAGTTCGAAGCAAAAGCGAAGCTTCTGAGTGCGGAATTATTGCAATTAGATATAAATCAGCAATAGTAAATAGACAATATTACAAACTAGATATGAGCCTGTTTAAAAGAAAACCTAGCAGGAAATAACAGCATTATTCAAAACTAATAAGAATCAAAACACCAGCAACCAACTGATCAAAATATGTGACAGTATTGAAAAAAAAAAAAAAAAAAAAATCACCAAATCACTGAAGTCACAAAAGACATTAAAATTATTTATTTTTTTTTACGAATTTAAATTTGTAACAGTTACGTCTAGCGTTCCAAATTAAGCCATTTTGTTTACAGCATTTATATGCAGTTACATGCCGCTGATACAAAAAGATGACATAGTAGACAGCATAGAACACTTTCCTTCCCCTTTAATGAGAAAAATTCCAGTAATACGAGCTACACAAACAACATTCAAAAGCTAAGTATTTAAACAATTTTCTGCCAAAGCTGGGAATAACGTACAGTTACGGTGGTCTTTGAATTATTGAACAGGGTGACAAAGAAAATACCAGAAGAAAAACAGAGTTATTAGAAAACAAATATTTGTTTCAGAAACATCTTTTGGAAAACCTTCACTGGCATACAGATAAGCTCCTAAAATAAAATACAGCCCCAAATGCTCTCCTAAACCTTGCACTGCTGTAACGTTCATCACATGTGAGTAGGCCAGAAATGTAAAGTGCTTCAACAGTTTATCTCAGTCATTCAAAACAGAAAAAAAAAAAACACTCCCTTTCTACTGCATAAAATAATATTAATAGCTCAGACATTATTCCAGGTTTTGCTTTTATATTTTCCCCATCTTTCAAATAAATCTGCTAAACATTTTTTCTTGTGATGTGCCATCTTAAAAAAAAAAAAAAAGAAAATCTATCAAAAATCTATCAAGCAATCAAAAATCTCTGCCTGGCAATAACAGCTATTTTTTTAAGCTACTTTTAGTGATAACTTGTTGCTTTAATTAAATGTTATCACTTTTCCATTAAAATAGCATTGCTGCTAACTCACAGGCTGAGAAGGTGAATAGATAGATTTGTGCAAATAAGTAAGACCCCACAAAAAGAAACATGGATATTAATCTTATAAAAGTGCAACCATCAACAAAATACAGTGGCTTAAAAGTAGTTACCTAAGAGATGTTATTCTTGGGCTACTAAAACATGCTTCTAAAATTACGCAGATTCCCATCTGGATGCTTTAATAAAAGCATGCCTGCACACGTCCATGCTACCTTGTATTAGATAGCCATTTAACAATGTATTGTTTCCATAATTCACAGGTTTAATATGCTCCTTCTTTGACAATATGCACAGAATTCTTAGAATATACATACATATAATTCTCTGTTCCTAGGCTGGTAACCATCTCTCTGAAGTTAATGGGAGCTTTGCTAGGCTGGTCAGACCCCCTAGCTCTTTTTAATAGCAGTTAAATGTCAAATATAAATACAACACCATAGTGAAACATATTCCTTTGACAGAATCTGGGACAAGACACTACACAGCTGCTGTTACCAATAAAGAGCAAAACTGACTTTTAATCAAAATAAGTGTTGCTGGTTACAAAGTTGTGTTCAAGCCTGCCTTTTGTTTGGGGGAAATGTCAATATTCCAACGTGCTAACTACAGCCACAATGAAATCAGCAGCTCCGTTTACTCCCAAAGAGTGGAGAGGTCCATTTCTGTACAGCATGTTACAACTATGTGATTATCATCATCTCAGACAGGGAGATGTTTTAGGTGCTAAACTAAAACATCTCGCCTAGCATTTTCAGATATCTGTGCCTAAAGTTCATGCTGGGTGAAATCCCGATTCTAATGAGGTCGAAGCAAAATTCACCCTCAGTTTCAATGGGCCTCATCCAGGACTTTCACTGGGAATGAGTATCTGTCATTCCCTGGGAACTGAGAATCTCCAGCAAGACTAGAAATGATGTCATTTTTATTAATATTTCTAACTTCTAAGCAACCATGCTCAAGAATTTTGGCCTTCAGCTCTTCTGCATGATAAAACCAAGGTTTCCATAAACATTACAGAAAGACCAGACGAAGATATATTTATCTCTCAAATTGCCAGCAGCATATAGTTCGTACAAATGTTGTTTTGCTGATGTTGCTGAGCTACTTTCAAAAGTGAATACCTTGTGGGGTATGTAATTTCATCACCAATGTCAAATGACTTCTAAAGATGAAACCTCTAATGCAAATTACAAAAAGATGCTTTGAATATATTTGGTATGATATACCAACTTTTACGTGAGGAATTAAGTTTACTTTTTCAGATCTAAGACATGCACCGAACTGAGGGAAATACTGTAACTGCCGTGTATGTCAGCAAAGCATGACTTACCCAATACTGAAATTTTAATACCTAAAAAACCCCCTGAAATGTAATAGGTAGCGTGTAGACCTGAATCAACATAATGGAATCAACAAAGAAATATTACTGAGGTCTGTTTTGAAAATTTTATAAGGACATATGGTTGTATAGACGATGCTTCTTTCAGGTACACCTTACCGGCTCACCCGTGTTTGCATGGTACACATAACCAGAGAAGAAACTGCTTTGCACTGTCCTTAAGCTAGCAATGCAGGAATTATTTTTCATGACTCTTCAGAAGCTGGGCTTGTTTTACATCCACATGAAATGCTGTCATCACTAGGTCCGAGCCCGGAGGATGAACTGCAGAGAAGCAGAGAGTGAGGGGGGGGAGAACAAAAAAAAAAGGGGGGGGGGGAGGGAATAAAAGGAGGAAATTGGTTTTCACAACACACTCAAAGCCTGAGTAACAGAGGAGAACTTTAATTATCTCCAGTCACAAAGAGAGACAGGAAATTTGGACTTTTAATTAGCCATTTGGAGTGCAGTTGGATATTTTTTTAGCAAGATAATTTAAACGCGAATAATTCAAGTCTGACTAAATGAAATTCACATAATCAGAATGCAGATAATTGAATTTCTACTGCATTCATTAATTCAGTGTGGAGGTGTGTGTGAAGACTTCTATGATGAGCTGTCACAGCTCAATAAAATCTCAGTCAATTAATTTTTTCATTATCTTAGTATTACATCAACAAAAAAAGTGAAGCATGCGTGTGTGTGTGTATGGATATATAATCTCCGAAAGTGAGGAAATGCAGAAATCACCTCTCTGAATCAGAGTCTGTGTCGTTCTTTCCTTTTTTTCCTTCTTCATCTTCTTTAGGAAATCGTCTGTTCAAAGAGGCAAACTTATGAATCGCATCAGCAACAGTGTATTTGGTCTGTCCAGAGACACAAGCCTCCATATCTTCTGGGCTTAGCTGAGTCTGTAAGAAGAGGTGAAGCCTACTGTCTGAGAGCAACAGTGCATCTTGTAGGATCCTGGAAAAAAAGGGGGAAAAAAAGTTCCAGTATTTTTATATTCATGCACATACACACATATAAAGTGTTCTACCAGAACAAACTGTAAACGATGTCCTGCTTTTAAGTTTTCAGATGAATCCTAAAATCAACAACAGGAGGTAACGAACACGTTAAAATTATGAGGTGTGTGTTACTTTCTTACTACGTTATTTGGAATTTTAGGTGAGTAAAAACACAAAACTAACAGGCACATCTGCTGTTAGAATAACTTCAAGGACATTTCTTCCATTTAACCATCTGTTATTACCACACGGATCAATTAATGATTTTTAGGCAGTTGGAGGCATATACTCTTACAAAAATTTGGTCTCCATTTGGGAACTCTTTGTGTTTGTTTTAAGAGCTAAGCTTTGCTAAGAGTTATGTCACCAATTTCTGTGGTGGGGGAAAAGAAGTGTGTACAGAGACAGAGGACTTCATATACATGGAGTGTCAGGAGTTTGAGATACCTGGAAACAGCAGAGACAACACTAGCCAAAAATCATTTACACTTTTGCACATACGCATACATTTAAGCTAGACTGAAAATGCCAATACTGAACACTGGTTTAAATTTATTTGCAATTTTCAGAAAATATAGGCATCATTTCAGCTATTTTTTCAAAAGTCTGTTTTAATCTTTGTTTTAGATGTATTTTAAATTAAGTCATCACATAAATTTAGCATAAAGTATTTACTTACATCAAGTGGGAGTAAACAAAATATAATACATTCCAGTAACACAAAGTTGTAGAGATAAATTCTCAGTCTTTGTAGAGAGTTGTAAGATAATTATCATTATTTTTGGAGGGGGGAGGTGGGGAAGAGGAAAGCAACTTTTCTGCAACATTTCTCTGAAGAAGGAATTTTTTAATACACAAATCCTAGAATGATTAACAAGAGACTTCTTAATTTAATATGTACATATAATCTTACTCATGTAATAGTCATCAGTGCCTATGACCATGCCAAACAGTGCTCCATGGAAAATTATTAAAGTATCTTTAAACAAATCAAAACTTTTACGAGTCAATATTTACTTATTTCTACCCATTTAGATTACAGCCATTACGAAAAATGTCACTGCTATGCAGTAGGAAACCAGAGAGGATGTTAATGTAAGAACAAGTAAGAGCAGAAAGAAAGAAAAATACTGCATTCTATAGGTACTCAGACTAAAATGGAAAAGTGTAACTGAGTAGTTCTTCCTCTCAAATAAGATTAATGGTGTGTTTGCACTGTAATGTTTTAAAACAAATATGTTCTGAAAACTGTTCTCTAAAGTGGCCAACATTATAATAACGTTAGTAACACACAACAGGATTTGTGGCTTCATCTAAGCCTCCAAAAATCTGCCAAATCAAAGTAAGTAATAAGACATATCTAGCTGAAAATGGGCAATATTCACGTACATGCACATTTCATTTGCCTAGGTAAACACACAGTCTCAACCAAATAACTCAAACTTTGACACCTTCCAATGAGGAAACGTCTGCAACGGCCCTAATGATCTACCAGGTGCATTTGAAGTTCAGTCTCAGAAGGAGCAGATTTCACTGAAGTTCAAAATGAGCACGTTCCATACCTAGAGAAAGCCTTTTTAATCTGATCTAAATTCTCATAATCTTACTTTAAAATAAACATAGCAAATAGATATCTGTAAAATCATTGCACACAGTGTGTCAATATACAGAAAAAGTTCTTCATAGTCAGTAAAGCCAGCAAATGCTGCGTAAAAATGATTTAAACCCCAGAATTTACAGAGCTACACACATTCACAGCAACAGCTTCACGAATACAGTTTGAAAAGCCATCATTCAGCGGCCACTAAAAGAGGATTTCAGCCTTGGCTCTTGATAAACGTACATTCCAAACAAAGACAAACACTGCAACAAAAAGTAAAAAAAGTATCATTTCGCACAATAAATCCACATTCATAGTTTATGCAACTGCGGGAGTAAATATCCTCCTTCCTCTTTTCTTCCTCTTAAAAGAAGAGGAAAAGTAAAGCTGGAGTTTACTGTAGAGTAACCAGAGTTACTGTTTTTCCCAGGCTTAAGAGCACAACGAGGGGATGCACATTTCTGCAATTCTAACATTTGCGTGTCTAATATCAAGTGACCCAGCAAAAAGCCAAGACATTAAAATCTGTGGATGGCATTTAGTTTCACAGATTTTCCTCTTGCCATACCTTCAAAAGTTTCCTGCCAACCAGCGCAAACACAAGTAACTAACTGTTCATGAAATTACACTACACTTACAGCTCTGTTGCTGTTTGAAATGTTATTTTATTTTCTTTATAAAATAATGGGTAATCTTTAAAATTGATTTTAGATGGTTTGAGGCATTACACCGGAGAAGTAATGAGCACTAATGTCAATGATATTGGACACAAATTCATTTTAGCTTTATTTCATGTCCAGTACAATTCTACTAAGCCTTGAACTGCTAAAGCACTGTTATTAACTCAGCAGTAACCTAACACATGGAACAGCAAACAAAACTGATAAGAGTACAGACTGATCAGGACCTCAAGGCTACTGTCCTTTTTCTGCAGCTATAATTCAATTTCCAATTTTACTTTACATTGGTCTCATTATTTCACAGTAATTTTCTTTTCTGCTTCATAGTGCCATCTGGAGGTGAAAGGATTGAAGAGAAACCAAGGCAAAGAAATGGAAAGGTGATCATAAAGCCAATCTCACACACACACACACATATATATATGTTCATACAGGGGGAAGGGACAAAACACCCAGTGCATTTTGCAAACCATTTAAAACCACCCTGAAAGCAAATACATGAACCTTTTTCACCCAGTGGCACCCCTGAAGGATTTCTTCCTTTTAATTAAAAATTAATGTGCCTTTCCCACCCCCTCTGAACCAACAGGTTAGATTGCTTCTTAATTGCGTTCTTCAAGCAATCAAAATGAGAAATAAATTCTCTGCTATCTGTAAGCATTATGCTTTCCTGTTCAAAATACTCCTTCAAGGGAATAGCCACACATTTGTTACCAGATGGTACTACTAGTATTAAGTGCTGGTGTAGCTGTTGCTCTCTAGGGCTTTTGCTGTCCTGGGGACTCAGTGTGTGAAGGGTTGTACATCTAAAAAAGCAGATCTGGCTCGAAGGACTTGAAGAATCAAAGTCACAAAACACCAGCTAACAAATTAAAAAGGCAGGAGGAGAGGCAGTGTCACAATATTAATACTCGGATGTCTCAGCAGAGACTGAGCGCGTGCGCAGCTTCGACACAACCAGTAGCACTCCCAGTGCTTCTCCAACAGTTTTATTACAGCTGGTGTCAGTGCAAAGCTGCTGCTACAGCAATGTAAATCAGCTCTCGCTGCTGCTGCACTAATGGAAGAGTCACGGCTCACGGTGATAATTCCTATAAACTGACTGAGCATATTTAAGAGAACAACAGACTTTCAGCGCACGCCTGGAGTAGGAACCAAAGGCTAAATCCTGCAAGTCTTGATCCCATCAGCAGTCATTACTTGTCAGAGATCTCACTCCTCTCAGCCAGACTGCTCACACGCATAATGACTACTTATGTGATTAAGGGGGCTGCAGGATAAGGCTCTACATTTGAATTAGAGATAATGAAATCATTTTTTATTCACAGCCACGTGAAGTCTTGTTTGTAAGCTTTCAGTAAATGCTCGGGATCTCCAAACCTTTAAAGAAGAGGGACCGAAAAATGTCACTTCACAACCAGAAGAAATAATGTTATTTTTGAGGAAACGCTGGATACTCTATGATTATTTCTCCTTCCCCATGTTTTGGCAAGGACATTTACAAAAGACAAAACATGTGTTTTGTCTTATTTGGACAAGGGCCAAAATCTGGTTTTCTTCAACATGATTTTATTAGGTATATTATACACTGTTCTGCTGCAGGAGAACAACATATGGCTGAACAGTACAACTTAATCCTAACTAAAGATTTCCTGTATCTGCTGTAACCTAATACAATGACAGATGCACGCTCACATGTGTGTGGAAGGTTAACACTCCCGATTTTGTTTTCGACAAATTTACTCTACCCATTTACATCATATCATGAGAGCAAGTGGGGAGAAAAGCCAGGAGCGGAGAGGCAGGGAATGACAGCCTATGCTGTGGTGCCCTCTATTGAGCATCCAGCCCCTCGGCCCCAGCAAACAAAGCCCCAGTTTCCTCTTAAAATAAGCCAACTGTGTCTTCTCCTTCATTTTTTTTATCAGGGAGGAAATATTACTGATAGCAAGCAACCGTGAAGCAACTGTTGGGCATCTGATAATGCATACATTTAGGAAAAGATTAAGCGACATGCCCCTGCTGGGCATTACTCACTTTGCTCACCAGACAGGAAATACGAGCAAGGCTCCATTGGAAAGGGGCAGCCACCACTCACTTAAGGAGATCCCACCTGCCCCATGGCCACCGATGCTCCTGCATTGGCCCTGGCAGGCCGGCATCCATCCCCTTTGGAGCCAGTCTCCTGCTTTCCACATCCCCAAGAAAGCACCCAGCAGAGACACCTCCAGCAGGGTCCTCTGACCCTGCACCAGCTCTTGCCTGTGGGACTGTGGTGGGTAAGGTAAGGAGGCTGAGGAGGAGCCACCTCCAGGGAATGGCTCTGCCTTAGGTAGCCAACTTTTGGGTGGCTTGCTCACTCCAGCACCAAGCGAGCCCAACACAAAGCCACCTGGAGCAGCAACACCATGGATGCCCTCCATCTCCCCTGGGTCCAAGTTACTCAAAACTCCTACTACCTCTTCCACTCCATCATAAACTGCATGCTTGAACACTATTGAAGACTAACCCTTTTTCCTCAACAACACTTTTTTTTGCATCCAGCTACATTAAAAATAAAAAAAGTCAGTAATGGAACCAAATTTAAAACAGTTTTGCTTATTAGTTTTCTAATAAGCAAAGCCAAATGAACTTCTGTGAAGGTAATCTAAATACCACAGTTAAACCTGTGCAGCTACAAAGGCTGGAAAGCAAAGAGGATTTTACAGAACTTTATAAGATAGTATTTTAATTTTGACCTCTGATTTAAGAACAAGCCTCTCCTGTGAATTTACAGATATCCTCAAAGGATGAGGATACTTACCAGGAAAAACACATAATTTTCCTTATTCTTACAAAGTAATTCATAATTGAAGAGGGGCTAGCTGACTTCCGTTAATGCAAATGGCCTCTTGAAATATTAAATTATGCCCAGACAAGATGTGAGCTTTACAGCTCTTCATCACTCAGAGATAATAACCTGCGAGACAAGGTCTTACCCTGCATTTGTGTAGTAAAGCCAAATCAAAATGGGACACCTGTTTCCAGATTTCACCAAAACTCTACAGAGCTTTGCTTTAGTTTCCAGCTGTTGGCCCAGTTCTCACACTGCTGTGCTCAGATCAGAGATGCTTTACAAAGGCTCCATCTAAGTACACACCTTGCCCAGTGCTAACTTGTTCTGGAATGACACGTGAAGGAGGACAAGAGCCATCCACATGTAGGCAATATGGAGCTGCTCCCAGGGCCAGAAGACAAGTACCAGAGAGCCTCCAGCCACTTGATCCTTACTCCTCAGGTATGTGGCTCCTTCCTGCCTGGGCAGACACCACAGCAACCTGCTCACGCAGCAACGGGCACAGGGCACAAACTGAGACTGTGAAAGATCTAAACTACATTTCAGGGAGAGCTTGGATCCTGGTAACCTCACAAGGCACCAAGTTCAGAGAGGAGCTTGGTTCCTGCATCACATGTGGCCTTTGCAAAATGTTACCTGCAAACCTCTCCCGTGACAGGTCCATGTAAGGTTGGATGCCCCATCCCTGGCAGTGTTCAAAGCCAGGCTGGACAGGGCTTGGAGCAACCTGCTCTAATGGAAGGTGTCCCTGCGCATGGCAGGGGGCTGGAACTGGATGAGCTTTAAGCTACCTTCCAACCCAACACATTCTGTGAATCCCATTCCTTCCCACTGCCATAAAGAAACATCAGCACAGCTGTGAGCTTCTGCATGGTGACTGCCGTTATTGCTGAGGTGCTTTGCAGTTCTGAGTTACATCACTCCATGCAATTACTTTCTGGATCCCTTTTCATCCCCTTTCTAATATACCAGGGAGATACCCCTGGAACTGCCACACTACAAAACATGCCTAGAGCTTTAGTAAAGTCAAGTGTGTATGTGTGTGTATGCATACACTTGTTATACACATAATTATACACACACTTGTTAACTATCCCACAAATTCAGTTTCAGAGAAAGAAATCATGGCAGCCTAGCTGAGCAAGTGAAAAGATGCCTTCTGCCTGCAGCAGGAGCACAAAAGTGCTAGCCAGCAGAGGGCAATGGTACAGCACACAAAGTGCCAAACCAATCCATCACAACACAATCCCTGATAATTCCTTCCAACTATTTCCCAGGGCCGAGAGAAAGCTGACACCTTTCTAAACAACATCAAGTTCAAATACTTAAATCATCACCTTACAACAGCGATGTCTCTTTTCTCACTCCTAGACTAATAGCAGCAAGGTAAAACACTCCACATCCTGCCATTTTCTGCTGGCACTACCTTTAAGCTACAGACATCCAAAATCAGAGGGTGAGAATGTGTTTTAAGAGAATCTACCTCTGTTTTGCCTTTTGAAGCACAGACAGCAGTCGTAAATACTTCTTATGCTGAAATACTATCCCCAGTTACCAGACTGACCTCTTTGCTCTTTTAAGACGAGTGATTTTGGAAACGCACTACTCTATGGGGCAGCACAGCTGAGCCAGAACTGCTCAGGCTCAGGGACATGGGCTACCACACCCTTTGCATGACCATTAGTATTACTGCCTCTGGAAGCAGTCACTCTATTTCACTATCCTTCTTTCCTGAGCTGCAGAAAAAGCCTCTGATGCTTTTTTGCTTTCCCTTCCCTGACTCACATGCCTTCAACCAGTATTTATTGGCTATCCTTTTGGCCACAGATCCTATATAACTGTATACAGAACATTACTCCTGCAGCAGTTAGTTTTCCCTGTCTTCAAGCTATTAAGCCTAACAAATATACCTCAGGACCAATGATTTGTTGTCTGTTAGGGTGGCTTATAATTAGAATACACTGACTGGAGAAACAGTGGGTCTAATACTCCTCTACCTACTGACTACAAGACTTAAAGCCTGCTTAAATTATTTGCTTTTTTCCTTTGCTTGTGCAGTTCCAATTCACAGAGACATTGATACTGAAGGCAGATGAATAGTCTCTACACGCAGTGTTTTAGCATGCCCTTACCCCGAGCAGTGACTAAAGAGCGCCTGCAAATGTATGCACAATTCCTGCCCCAGCAGCTGTGAGCAGCCTCCTCTCACACCAGCAGTGCCAGGGTACCACGAGAATGGCAGAGGAAGCAGAAAATTACACCAGTGGGGTCTCTGCCACTGCAGAAGGTGAAGTGGTTACAGCAGTGGGACTGAGGGATGCAGAACCGAGACTCATACAGTACTCCCTTGTAACACAGGTCAGGCTCTAGCTAAGTCTGATGAATGGTTTTATACACATTGCAGCTGTACTGAAAATGATCACAGCTGCTAGAGCTTGCTTATGTTAGTGGGGTTGGTAAACAAAGTAACTGGCATTATAGGAAATACCTGTGTTAGGAGATCTGGCTACAGAATTCTCACAGGCTCCCAGGGGCTTAGCTCACAAAGACACTGATTCTCCACAGACATGAAGAGAAGTATGTTTCTTTGTATGAGACTATCTAGCTTGCTCTTGAAAGCTAGAAATAGACACCACAGTGAAAGATCTCCTAACCTTAGTACACAATTGCAAAGTGACTTAAATCAAAAACTATTATTTATAGCTATCACAATGGAACACAATAGAAGAACCTCAGCTGAAGCTACCTCTCAGCCAATAGAGCTGAAGTCACGTGTATGAAATATGACTGTGCAAATAAAACCAAGTATGTAGCATGTACAGATGACCACACGGTGGCTCTCAAGTACCAGAGATGAGCTATAATAAACCAGACATTGATGACATCATAGAAATGCCAACACCTCCAGGATAGGCTGTACTTACTTTTCCAGGAATTCCTGCAGACCCTGCCGGCGATGGTCCACGTGATGAGGATTATTCATATTGAAAAAGGGAGTCTTAGATGGCAGGTCAGGTAGCTGTCTTTATAAACAAGAAGCAAATACACAGTTTAAACCAAATCTGAATCAGCAGAAGAAAATGCAATAAGCAAATGCCAACCCTGAGCATGTGCAAATCATGGGTCATGTTCCAGAAGCTCATGAAATCAAACCTGGGAACACAAGGCTGAGAAACTGGAGGGCTTCTCACACACCTCAAAGGGTAAAGGAAATTAATCTGATTTTTCTGTTCCGGTTGTTAAGCCTGCATGCATATCTGGCTGGGTCTTTAATAGTCCTTGCAGAACCTAAGCACATTCCAAAAGAGAGGACACACATACACTTATGCTAGGTTCCTATCTCTCCTACTTGTGCATAGCAAAAGGAAATGCAGATCAAACCTCTTACAAATTGGAGGGGGGCACACCAAATAGAGGCTATCACTAAAAACCACATTCAAATCCAGGTTGGATGGGGCTTTGAGCCTCCTGGTCTAGTGGAAGGTGTCCCTGCCCATGGCAGGATGGTTGGATCTGGGTGATCTTTAAGGTTCCTTCCAACCCAAACCATTCTGGGATTCTGGGTTTAAAGCAGAGAAAATGCACACAAGCAGAGAAAATGCACACAATACACTTCTGCAGTAAGAAACACTGGACACTTTCCAGCTTGGATTTCTGTAATTCTCAGAATTATGATGAAACAATCCTCCCCTTCTGTAGTTGACATATTATCAATTAACCATATATCAAGCTGCTTACATCAGCACTGCATTGCTCTGAAGCCTCTGTCGAAGCCAAACAAACTCTCGGAAGCGCCGTCTGACGCAGGATGTTTTCCTTGTGAAGCACATACTGTTTGTCTGTTGGGAAATCAAAAACTTTTTTAATCAGTAAATCAGCTTAAGATAAAGTGCAAGCATGGCATTAAAAACACACCCAAGATGCTAATCCCCGAGGTACCAGTGGACAGCTTGACATTAATTCAGTTGAGGTTAAGGACTGTGCTTTACCTAGGGCAGGACCGGTGACAGTTTCTACTGCTTCTCAGGGAAATACATTTCATTGTGTGCTTTCTTTTCAAAAGCAAGAGATCTGGGTTACGGTACAACTTGCAATAACAGGAAATACGATCTCTGTCTATTCTAATTATAATCCTGCAAACAGTTAGCTACATAGAGTTCTTCCAGTGTGCAATCTACTTAAATCAAATCAAAGAAACCAATGTGACTGCTCTCTGGAAGTAGGAGCATTTGGATTTTTTCCCGCAGATCACTATTAATCCACTAGGGGAAAAAAAAAGCTAATTCATCAAAAGGGAAACAATTCACAGAAATTAAATGCTTTTGCCAAATTGTCCTGTGGAGCGTATATTTAGATGAAACCCCACCTGCCAGACAGGGCTCCGTTATAAATGTGCTGCAGTCCAACCCACCCTCAATCACCTTGCAGGGGCCACAACTCCTAGACAGCCACATGATGCAGATTGCAGAGGGCCCAGAGATGCCAGCTTTCTGGTATAGATGAGTATCTGGGATACTTCACAGTTTAACAAGCCTCATGTTATAAGAGCTGGGCAGAAGTGCAACCCAGCTGGCAGACCCAAGATTTTGAATGCAGGGAGAAGCCTGGAGATGGCAGAACTAACCTAGAGACTTGGTGTCTGAAAGCGCTTGGCATTGTACTGGTAGGAAGCTGAGTGGATGCTTTTCAGCCTCAGAGATGCCCAGTGCTGAATCATGTAACACTGTGCTGGTTTTGGCTGGGGTAGAGTTAATTTTCTTCATAGTAGCTAGGATGAGGCTATGGTTTGGATTTGTGCAGGAAACAGTGTTTGATAACACAGGGATGACTTAGCTATTGCTGAGCAGTGCTCACATAGGATCAAGGACTTTTCTGCTTCTCACTCCACCTCCACCAGAGAGTAGGCTGGGGGTGCACAAGAAGCTGGGAGAAGACACAGCCAGGACCAAAGGGATATTCCATACCATATAACATCATGCTCAGCAATAAGCTATAGGGAAGGTTGGCTGGTGGGCCTCTGTTTAAGGACCAGCTGGGTATCGGTCAGTTGGTAGTAAGCAATTGCTTTCATTTGCATCACTTGTCTCTTCAGTTTTATTTCTCTGTGTTTTCTTTTTCACATTTTTATTATTATTTTATTTCAATTATTAAACTGTTCTTATCTCAACCCACAAGTTTTCTCACCCTCCTAATTCTCCTCCCCCATCCTGCTGGGGCAGGGGGAGTGAGAGAGCAGCTGTGTGGTGCTTACGTCCTGGATGGGGTTAAACCACAACACACTGAGTCTAAATGACACCACTGCAGCTTAGCAGCCCCTGAGAAAGCCATAACATACTTCTAATAAGAGACACCAATACCTCTGAAACAGTAACACAGCACCCACCCCACCACATCTACAGAATTCCTATTTACCAGAAGTCAAACTGCTTTGGAACCAGTACTAAACCACATCACAAGACTTAAGAGTTCTGCCACACAGGAGAAAGGTAAGATGGACATCAAATAAACCACCATTTGACTGCTTGCTGTCATTATGCTGAATGTTGAACCCTCCCACACAGGAAAGAAATGCTTTTGGTGTTGTGCCAACCATTAACCATGTAACTCAGTGTTCTCAAATCCCTCACCTGATAGCAGATACACTTCTTTTTTTACATTGCATTTAAAATCTCTGGAACTAGATTTAGAAAACAAGGATAACTCCTTCTGCACATCATTCACCAAAGAAGAATAATCAACAAAACAACACAGTATAGAGGACAGATTTAAAACACACAAGAACCATAATTCCAAGTGCATTCCCATTAACAAATGGTGGACTACAAGGATAAACCCAAATGTAGTTACTTGACATATCCAAGCACCCTTAAACTAGCATAACATGAATATCAAGGCACAGTGAAAACAACCCCAGCAACCAACTAACTTGGCAAAAAGAACTAAGGATAATTTAAAGTACAAATAACCAGATAATTACTTGAAAATAAAGTCTTTCTCCCATGAATCCCAGAACAACAAGCTAAGAATAGTCTGTTGCAAGGCATTGCAGAGTGCACACGTGAACACAATAGCAGGTTCAACTCCCGGCTCTGCCAGACTTGTTGCATGGCCTTTGGCCAACCCACCTTACCTGTTCCACTGTGTCTCAGTTGTTAAAAGGACAATAATATCCTCCAGCCTCCCAGAAGTGGTATATAGAAATTCCATTAATACCCCAAAGAGAACCCTGGCTTGGACAGAAGCAGCAATGAGAGCCCTAGGAATCTGTGCTGACATTTTTATACTTACATGAATAAATATCTCATAGTCTATGTAAGAATGCCATGAGTCTCCTTTGTGCGTCCTGGGGTCTCGCACCAAGACAGTTACAAATTCCTGCAAGTGCATAATAAAAATCAAGCAATTAATTTCTGAAGACAAAGGCAGCCTGAAAGACTCTCTTGATTGCTTTGCTCTTCCACAAACTGCTGTGCTCAGATTAAAAGCTGAACTGCTGCTTTATTGAATCTTGCAACCCTATAAAAGGAGAAGCAAAAAGCAATGAATCATCTGAGATACACCACATGACTGGGAAATTCTTTGCCAAATTTCTATCTTAAGAGGAATATTTCAGATTAAGTAATACTGTGAACAGTCAGACATGTTTCATGCATGGGAGATATGGTAGTCTCAGTAGCTACAAACCAAAAACCTAATGTTCAAAGTCACACGTGTATGAAAGAACCAGGCAGGTATTTTAGGATTTTCCCACACTTGCAATCAGTGTTCACAAAAAATGTGTTACAACCTGCCCATGTACCCAATATTACATATAACATTTTATTTGGTCCTTTTTTTTTGGCAGTTTATTTTTTTATCATTTATATCCATTGCTTTCAGGGATATGAGGTAACTGCTCAGTATCTCCACGAGGATCCAAAGAAGTGCCTTTTTCTACGCCCCAAATGACTTGCTCCAGAACAGTGGAAAAGGACGTAGCACTATTAACTGCCCCAGACACAGATTTCACGCAGGGAATCAAGATCTCAAGCCCAGTGTCTCAGATGTTGTGTGGAAGGGGATGAATCTTTCCCCTCTGCTGCATATACTTCCTAATACACCAGGAACTTAAGCCATGGAGTAGAGCCAAGGGTGCAGGATCTGGACACTTCTCTCCCAGTCTGCCCATCAACCTGCCCAAGAAAGCAACACAGCTGCACTGCAAACCAGAACTTCTCATTTTGGGAGGTCGATAGAGAGTATTTGTTGCAGAGGTTGTCATATCTAGTCCATTTCCTTGTAATTCCTACATTTACACAGTAAGTTAGAGGGATCCCAAAGGAGTGAGATAGACCTGTGGGCATTACTGTAATGTGACCAAGCACCACTAATAGGAACTGGAAAAGGCTGAAGAATTAAATGCTTCTGAGACTCCTCAGCTAATGACCATGTGAAAACTTGTACTGTATTAAAAAACAAAACCAAAAAGCCTACTAAATCTGTATGTTTATATTAAGACGGAAAAGGTTTCTTTAAAAAACAAAGGTTGAAAGTATGCTTAACTACCTGCTGTTTACCGATCAAATGAACAGACTGCCATTCTCCAGTTGCATAAACAAGCTATTCACCCAAAGAACTAAGCCAACCACTTAATGTCTCAGCTAAAGAAAACCTCATCATTTTAAGCTGTCGATACATTCCTCCACAAGAGAAAGGCACTGCACAAGACCTTCAGGTACAGGAACTGACTGTGGGAGGAATGACAGTGTCTCTGGTAAATAACATGCTTTTTTAGTACATCTTTGCATAAATCAAGAAATCTTGAACTAGAAGGCTCTGAAAACGTGTCTCTCCATGTCCAAACTGCAGATGTCAAGTCAACCTTTCACTTTCCAGCCAAGTCTTCTCCCCCACCACACACTTCAGTGTGCCACCAGCAGCTACCTTCCATGGACTGACAGGAGAACAATGACAGCCTTGAAAGGAAAAGATGTATTTTTCCTGAGTGTTCACTGCACTCTGCGCATGGCAGAGATGTGTTCACATCCTGGATTAAATAATCTGTCGCTCTGATTTCCAGATGTGGCTTGATGGCTGGATACAGCTCGTGGTTTTATCTCACTTAGCCCAGCTTCTAGTTGAAGGGGTGTTTTCTGCATTATTGCTGGATACCCTCTCAGTGTGTGTCATGAGCACCTCACCAAAGAAAGCCCATCTGAACAGCTCCCACCACCTCTGCTGCTTTTTTTCCTTACTGAAAAGTGCTAGAGGCCTGATTCTCCTCTGGAGCTTTTTAACCCCTTGCCAACATGGCACAAGAGGAACAAATGAACAGAGCTCTAATCATGTCTACCAGTGAAGGATCATGCCTTTACTTTTACAAAAGTGCTAGTGGGAACCATGAGGAAGTTATTCCCCCTCCTGAGCAGATCCTGAGCAATATGCTGAACACAGGAGAGGAAGCCATTTGTTGGTTGCTGTTTTTTCTGCTTGCCTCCCTGTCTATCGTATTTAGCACACATATATAGGCATGACATACTTTCAGACCCACCATAACATCTTTTCATATCTGTGGTTTCACATTCTCCCAAGTTTTTGTGCTCCCCAGCCTCCTACTTCCCCATGTCCCACTCTTCACCAGAGCTGCAGCTACTTCCAAACATACTTTCTTTTCTTTCCTGTACACTAGATGCATCAGTCCTGCAAGTGGGAGAAGAGGAATTATGCCAGGAAGCTTCAAATGGGGCACGGCTCTCCCCTTCAATTACTGCAGCCCAGAAGTCACATCTGCAGGTAGCCTAATCATAACCTAACCTCAGTCCCCTTCCTTTTACCTACTGCCCTACTGACTCCTCATTGCATTTCCTTTTGTTCAGGTTCCCCAAACCACTTCATTTCCAAGTAACCTCCTATAACCCCCTCCTTCGCACACAATCAAAATAATCTTAGAGGTAAAATGCTTCTTTCAACCTCTGTTATACCAAAGTATTATGGTTAAAAGTTGCTATTGGATATGTTGTGGGTCAGCTACAGGTTACCTTGTCAAGCATTCCAGACGAGATGATCCACACAAAAAACTCTACATTTTTAATTTCCAGTTAAATGGTCACCAGTTTCAATACTGAAGAAGTCAAGCACCCTTCAGACTCTACCTATAGAGGAAAAGGTAGCTGCTGTACATACTACAGCAGGCAGGTGTCCAGGCAGCATATCACTGAGCCAAGAGCCAAAGCGATTCATGGTACGGCAGAGCACCTCAGCAAACTGCATTCCTCATGCACAGTCACCGTGAGCTCCAGTTTGAAACACCAGGATTTCAGCAGCAGACTGGGTAGTTCTCTCCCTCCCACCTCCGTTATTTACCCAAGAATACTGACACTGAGTTCAGAATGAAGCAAGATAAACATTAAGCAATTAGAAAACAACCCCCAAAATGTACAGCCTTTCTCAAGATCCATGGTTACTTCCTCTAATAAACATCTCAAATCCAGGAAGCATTAATTCCAATTCCCATTACAGTTTCTCTGCTCTGAAACAGTGGCATTGCATACATAGACTACGCCTCTTCTTTTAACCTTTTAAAGCCTTCTCCAGGATACAAGATCCCACTGGGACAACAGCACTGACTTAATCAAAGCAGCCCCAACTGCCCAGTATAGATGCAGATACGCTGCCAGAAAAGGTGTTTATGCCTCCCTATCCCTATAAAAATAAGCTTGTGAAGGCCAATATTATATATAAGCTACGTCAGGGTCCAAACAGTTGTTGTTCTATGCCTAGTCCATCCTGTTCACTGGTCACTGTCACCAGATTACAGCAGTTTTGGGTAATAAATGCCTTTCTCCCCATCTTGCTATAAAAACGAGGATACTCTCAATAGGCATGTCTATCTTCAAGTAATGCACCACTCACCTAGAGGAGGTGAGACTGACCTCTTCCTCCCACAGTCCCCATGAAGACTAACTTAATCTTTTGTTACAAGACTGCACCACAGGGTAGCTGTACAACTTGGGAAGCAAAGCCCAAAGATAGCCAAGGTTCCAGGGACTTTTTATTTCATCAGCTGCAGTCCTTTTCAAGGTCATCTTCCCCCCACCCAGTTCTGCATGGTTTTTCCAGAGTTACAGATCTAGCTATTTTGCCACATTACTTATACTTCCCATTTTGGGGGTTTGGAGGTGGTTTGGTTTTGGTTTTTGAGGGGCACAATACCTGCATGCCTGTCATGCATTCAAGAATGATACATGTTCTATAATGATTAGCCAAAGAATTCTCTCAAAACCAGAACATACTGCTGACAGTTCAAAGTGTCCAAGCTTGGTAGTAGAGGCCTATTGTACTGGACACAACACAGTTTCAACATAGATCTACTGGGAAAAGTGTTATCTCCATTTATCCCTTCTTCCTGGAAACTGGAAGATAAGCATAACATGTTCATAAGCAAAACACTTCCGAGCCAAACTTCTAGTGCAGTAGCTTTGGTATGAATCCCAGCAGCCATGCTGGCCCAAATGTGCCCACGAAGAAGTTCAAATCTGCCCCAAAAGTAGTTGTTAACTTCCACAAAAAGTAGTTGTAACTACTTAACAAGCACGAATCAGCAGAGCAGCTTCTCTGGCTGGATGTGCCTTTTAATACCTGGCTAAACCAGCCAGTTCAGACATGGCACTTGTGGCATTTTCATACCCTGTCCTAAAGGCTTGGAGCAGTCCAAGTAGTTGGGTCACACATAAAGGACAAAACAGCCAAAGTGATCCCCAGGCCTGGTTTACACCTACTCCCTTATGGCTACAGCCCTGTGCAAAGAACAAGGGCAGCACTGAGGTCATGTAGAGGCAAGCACTGAAAACTGAAATGTTCCCATTTGGATTTGCCTCAAAAGGAAGACAGGCTGAGAGACCCGGGATTGTTTAGCCTGGAGAAGGGACAGCTTTGGGGGACCTTACAGCAACCTTCCAATGCCTAAAGGGGGCCTACAAGAAATCTGCAGAGAAACTTTTCACAAGGGCATGTAGGGACAGGACAACGAGGAATGGCTTTAAACTGACAGAGGGGAGATATTATGAAAACATTCTTTACTATGATGGTGGCGAGGCACTGGCACAAGTTGCCCAAATAAGTTGTGGTTGCCCCATCCCTGGCAGTGTTCAAGGCCAGGTTGGATGGGGCTTGGAGCAACCTGCTCTAGTGTAAGGTGTCCCTGCCTGTAGCAGGGGTGTAGGAAGTAGATGATCTTTAAGGTCCCTTCCAACCCAAGCCATTCTACCATTCTAAGAATACACCATAAAAGCAGCTGAAGCAAACACAAGAAGAAGACTTTATCTTTCCCCCAGCACCTCCTTCTCCTCTTGGAAATAGAATCATAGAATAGTTAGGCTTGGCACAATGCAAGGATTGCTCAGAGACAAGAATAAGCCAGAAGCTATATTACATAGAATTTAACCATAAAACCTGTGTTTCTGAGAAGCCTATTTTTAACATTTTCCTATTAGGAAAACAGGAAATCTGACATGGAAACATCTATTTTTAATATGGGGGGGGGGGGGGAGGGAATCTACCAAAAGGAGGAGGGCAAAAATAATCTGTCACTAGATGATTATTTGCATCAATCATTCCAGCTGCATTTTAATTCAAATCTCTGTGCCCAGGACCATATCAGGTGATAACCTCATGCTCCATGGTGCCACGGTTACACATACGATTAGTCAATAACCCCCAAGGAGTCATTTTCCACAAAGCTTCTGAGGAAAACAGAGCTTCTCATCAGGCTGCCTGTTACCAAAAGGATCAACCACACAGAATGTGGGGCTTTTCATGATGGGAATGTTGGCATCTTCACACATGCTGAGTATCAAGTCTGCTATGACTGGGACAAAATCTGTTGCAACTTTTAATGCTCATTGGGACTGAGCAAAAGTGAATGTGCAAGTGTGATTCTTGTGGTCCATGTATCTGCTCATCAGAGTTCAGACCCAGCTCCACCCAATATGTACTACAGGACTGATGGAGAGAATAGAGAAATCCAAATTATTTTACCCTGTCTCAGTATCTGAGTCTCTTATGCAGAGTCACTTACTTGCCTTATCTCTGATCCAGTGAATATTTGATTCTTCCATTAACCTTTAGCAGAAGGAGCTGTCACTCCAGAGCATTCTGTACCCTCGCAATTAAAGGCATGAAGAATACAACCAATCTTTCCTGGTCCGTGTGACACTTAATGAAATTCAATCCACCACCACTAATCTAGAATAATTTTTATTAAAGCTTAGACATGACTTACTTGTTTTTCGTGTTTTGGTGTCATCTTCACTGGTTTATATTAAAATATTAATCTGAAAAAAAAATTAGACACGAGATTGGCATTCAGTGGTTATTTGGAGGTCATTAGTACTTTTACTAGACATTAGTAAAGAGCAGACAGTGGCACACATACCATGAAAACATGTTTGCATTAATTATATCTAAGAGTTCATGAAAAATATCCCATTTTAGAAGGACTGGGTTCGTCCCCTTCTGAGGATACCTGTCATACACAAAAGCCCAGTGGTGCCTGTCCACCTCTGCAGGTCAAAGCTTCTTCTCATTGCTCTGAGAGCTGCGCTGGGGCTCAGCTTGCCCCCGCCTCCCAAGAGCTCGGCACAGCCAGCATCCCCAGTGCACAGACACAGCCCAGGCAGCACTGCCTGCGCCTTGTTCCCAGACACAGGTCTGTGTGACTGTGGCCAAGGTCCAGAGACACTGGAACATCTGAGTCAGCAGAATCAAGAGCCCCTCTCAACCGTTTCTTTGAAACGGAGGTAAGTAGAGAGACAAACTGCTTGGATCCTGCAGGCTAGCTAAAACTCAGGCTACATTTCAAGGTGTATGTGGTGGTCAAACCTCAGCATAGGGAAGTGCATAGCATAGCCAGGACAAATTAAAAAAAAAAACCACCATTAACTTATGTTCTAAGTCTCCTCTTTCACTGGAAATCCCAATGAATTTTTACCCACCTCTGCAGTCCTGCAAACCAGCCGTTTTGCTCTGGGCAGGTACTCACACAGGAGGAGCAGGACAGCTTTATTCACTTGCAAGCTTACATACACACTGCCTGCCTAAAAACAAATGCCATGCGAAAGATCTGCAGTTTGCCTTTCCCCTTTATTTCTCCCACATGCCATGGAGCCACTGCCAGCTAACACCTACCCTGAGCTATAAACACACCCCATTGCCTCCTGTTAAAAGTTAGCCTCCTCCTACCAAACTGAGAGTACCCACACAGGATCCCTCCTTCACCCCAGGAGCACAACTCCCTATACTGGTGCCATGGTAAGGATGGAGGCCACTCGAGCAGGAGAAACTGAGCAAAATCCTCCTGTACATCACTCCAGGCAGGTGCCTCGCATTGGAAAAAGGCGAATTTGCAGCTTTCTTAGGCTGTTGCCAGATGGCTGCAAACTGTTCACATGTGACCAGGGAAGACTCATTGCTATGTTTTTGGAGGTGGTTTGCTAAGGCTTAGCAATACACAGCTTAGAGCCTCTCGTTATTATACAACTATATATCTAGGTCAAACCCAGCTAAGGACTCCTGGACACCCAACCCCTCTTACAAATGCCTAGTTTTCAAATTACAACTTCACCTATTTTAATAAAGCAGAGCACAAAGATAAGCACACATATATCCATTTTACCAGGAAATTATTTTGAAACAAATGTATCTTTGTCAAATTTCTCTAGGATCAGTTATATAAAAATAGGATGCTCTGTCTCCAAATAGAAATGTCCATACACAGCACTTCACATCCTAACAAGTGCCATCAGTACGGCTCCCATCTTCATAAAGCCACCATTTCATTTCTATGACTGGGATGGCACTGATAAAAGCACAGAGGAATAGCAAAAACCTACACTCCTATTAAATTGTCTTTTTTAGTTTACTCACTGCATTTATGCTAACTGGGGTGCAGTTGTAAACCAATACAGTTTTGGTTTGGGGTTTCCTTTTCTGCTCTAGTTGAATGTTTTGTGGTGGTGTTTTTTTAAATGGCAATTCCATGTATTTTTTCTAGTTATATACCTTTATTTGATTGTGCAGGCTCGTTCTCTCCTGCCTCTTAGCTGATTTAAGTAAGAAATTATGCAAGCCCAAAATACTTCATTCCTGACACTGTCAGTGAATAACAGGGCTGAAATAACACATTTCATCTTGTCGTCTGTTCTTCTAATGAACGAGTTATATGCTGGTGCAGGCTAGAAAGAACAGTTTAAACTCCAAACAGCCATCACAGTTTTAAATATTTAATGATTAAAATGAATATTTCAGCACCAACAACCTTCCCAAAATAACTGAAATACATCATTTTTTCATCAAGTAATTAGAAAGAAAATAAAAAGGAAACCAAAGCCCACCAAAGCTGCCTTTTCCACTGATTCCAGCAACTCCAAAATTGCTCCAGTCATGCTGCAGTCACTCAAACACATACTGAATGCGGTATTCTGTCTGGTAGCAAGGCATGCATTTTGGGACTTAACACATGTAGAAACGAGAAAAGCAGAACAGTTCAGCTGTCTGCTTAAGAACATGCCTTTTTATCTTTAGAAAAACCCTACCCAAAACGCCGGTGATGGAGAGAAGCTGCCTTCCGAAGACAAACAGAAGGCTGCTTTTTACTCATAATAAGAATAAATCACTAACAGAAACGAACCAGTGCTGGGAAACAGAATCAAAACAGGCAGTGGTAGATCTGCAGCTTTGATAAAACACTTTCTGCTGTGACTGGGGGAAAACCTCATTGCTCCGAGTAAGTTTTTGTTCTGCTTCTGATCTATATCAGTCTGAAGAGGACTTTTATTATTATTATTGGTTGCATATACTTAATATAACACCCGCTGCTTGCAGTATAGATTTTTGATGGTTGTTAATTGCATAATGAACAAAACTGCCAGGTAACAGCTCCACAACTGCCAAAAATCACCACCCAAATGCAAAATGATTATATAGGATGAATTGCTATGCCTCCTGTAGCCTAAGAAGAAAAAAATCCGGGAGGGGGAAGCCAAACACAAGTACTGCAGGCTTTTTTTCTTAGGGATAATAGATAAACTGCAGTGCTCTTTGTAAGGATAATAGATAAATACAACTATTATATTTTATTTCATATTTTAGATTTTATTTTATATTTTAAAATCCAAATTAAAACAGATTACTTAATATTACTAGGCAAATACCCCTTTATCATGTAAATGGACTGCTGTTAATAGAGGAAGTAACTTCACTCCTACTTTCTCAAACTGAAAGATGAAAACTGAAGCAATACCACAAACAAATGCATAACAACTTGCCATAGGAACAGCACAAACAATGGGAGCCCTCCCGGCCACTTCATTAAGTAGCTGTGTTTAGTTGCACTGAAATTTCATTGTTTCACTCATTGCTGGGCAGTGGCCTGTGAAATGTTCTTGCCTGCTCTGGGACTGCTCACTGTGATTCCATATGGCCAGTGTTTTCCCTCAGCAATATATGTCGATCTTAGGCTCAAGAATTATCCATTCACCTACCTTTGGTTATTTCTAAACATATAACTAAAAGACCACCTTCAAGTTTTAATGGGGAATAGGGATGTACTTTTAGACTGTGGTCATGATTGAAAGTCCTACATAGTCACAAAGTCCTCAGCTGCACTTTCAAGGTTGTTCCCACCGCCAGTATCAAATGAAGCTTTCATTCAGCGCTTTGATGTGACCAAGACAGAGAGAGATCACAATTAAATCTCTAAATACTTAAAGAGCTTTCCTGAATTTTACATTTTGCTTACCTTAGCACTTGTAGAGAAGAATTTTAACCTACAGCCTGCAGAAAACTATATATAGGTAGCATACATTTATACATATAAAATGAACCATTCTGTGATGCCAAACTGACCACATCATAACATCCTGCACATAAAGGAATTGGGTACACTGCCATCACAGAAGTACTGATCCTCTTGATGGGGGGTGGGGGGATGTTCTATTCAAATGCTGTTCCCCAAGCAGGGACTTCCAGTCAATACAGAGTAACTCAGCCTCAATGTAAGAGGATGCCTTGTACTTCATTCATCTGGTCCAATTTAATACCTGGGGTCAACCCAAGGAGTAATGAGTTCCTTTCTGTCCCTCACTGTCCATGAACAGGATGGTGAGGACTAACTCTAGCCTGCACAGGTCACAAAGCATGCTTCCTTCTTTCATCTACCCTGCTGGTTATCTGCCTCGCCTTCCCTCAGCAAATCACCATAAGGGTCTGCTCATCAGAAGCGGAAAGAATATGAAAGACATCAATATTTTTATCTAAACTCAGCACAGCACTCAGGTGTCTGCAGACTGCTTAGTTAAGTCCACAAAATAAAGTACCCCTTGAGCAAATCCATCTCACTTCCCAGGCTGAAGGTACTGGTTTCATCATTGTTACATTACAGTAGCACCAGAATCACTTGCTGCAGAGCAGAAAACAAGCACGCTGTCTAAACTGCTTTTAAGAGCTTTCCAAACCTCTGACAGAATTCACACACCTTTCCTCCAACTTCAAGGCTCCTCAGAAACGCACTGCCAAAAATCATGTCCTTGTGGCTGCACTTGAAATTCTAACTTCCAGCCACTGCTGCCAAGATGTTCACTTAACTACTCTTTCCTTGCAGGATTTCACTACATTTGGTTGCCAAATGCTTGTCTATGGCCACCAGGTATAAGACAGCTCCTTTTCAAACACTACAATTTTTTCCTCACTCCACCATTCATTCCCTGGTGCTGCAAGTTTCCTGCCCATTAAGACCTGGTTTATCAAAAAATTTATTGGGTCTATTAAAAAAAAAAAAAACAAAACAACAAAACCAAAATCAAAGAAATTTTCATTCATTTCAGAGGAGCCTCAGAATTAAAGAGTTAATCAAACACGCAGATTTCCTTCTCCCCTACTAAATAAATACATTACATGGATTACAGTGTCAGGTGTGGGTCACAAATTTCCAATTACAGTGCTAGTATACCATATTCTTAATTTCCTCGAGTTAATACCATACTGCTGGACAGCAGTATGACTCACACACCAAGCCTGTCTGAAACCTCCAAAAGCCTGAAGATGAACAAGGAAGAAGTACTAAGAAATCTGTTCACAGTGGGAAGAGAGCATCAGATGTTTCTTCACTTTCCTGTTTTCCCTTTTTTCTTTTCAGTCTCAAATTGCAGACATATGCTCAACCAAAGGATTTCTGCAGTTTCAGTGTACGTTCGTTCTAATGCAAGAGAACGTTGGCTTTCTTGCATTAGAAAATACCAACAGTATTTTCTATACAAACAATGACAGTTTGGGCTTTTTGGCAATCCCTAGAGAATGGTAACTGTGGGTCAAAACACTGAAGGAACAGTAAATAGCAATTATTTATTACTCGGGCCTGATGCTTGCCATATCTTCTGCAGATAACCTGGGGACCACTCAAAACGCTCCTGCAGTTCTGGCTCCCGTGTTCTCCAGGCAGCCTGTCAAGCTGGTCTGCCACATGAGCCTGCCTGTGCTACTCTTTCCAAACATAAAGGTGAATAATAAATAGCTTAAACTACACAAAATTATTTTGTAGTGTATATAATTGCAGGTTTTGTTGCTAAGGCATTTCCAGAAGGCCAACAAAGACGTGAGACAGTCTTTGAAGGGAAGTACTGGTGAACTCCAAGGTGAAGTCCCAGTAAGCCTGCTTGCTCCAGAGAACTTGAGCTAGGAGAAGCTGATTTCAGAAGCAGCAGCAGCCCTGGCAATCTGGCAAATTTAATCATCTTTCAACTACAGCCATACTTAACATGTGAAATACTGGACAGGCACTGGAGTTTTTACTGATACTTAACACAAACAGGGCATACCATTGGCAGTAAAATTACCTTTGAAAACAAAGGGAAAGTAGCAAGTAATTTCCAGCCTAAAACCACTTGCTTACATAATAACTGAGTACTTCCCAAATCAAAGTTCTGCTCTTACTTGAGATCTTACTGGATACACCAATGAGAACCAGCAAATAAAATCACACAGATAACCCACCCTGAGATATTTTTGTATGATGTCAGTTAAACAATATCTCAGACAGCTTTTAGTTTTACAAACTGGATTACAAACCAAACAGCAGAGATTTGTAAATAGAGACTAAAGAATCAGCATTTCAGAACGCTGACTAAAATCCCAAGACAAATCTTAAACGCTGCTTCTGAAGGAGGGCTTATGTGCAAAGAAGGTATGTTTTACATTCTTAAAAAAAAATTATGTTTCTTACAGGAGTTAAATATTTCATTGCATTCTATCTCTCTGTAATAAGTGATTTTTACTTATCACAGGAAAAGAAGGGCTGATGGAAGCTCTATCTTTGCTGCTGAGTAAGCAGTGCAGAAGTCAGGAGACGCTGTGCAGTCTTACTGCAACATTTCTTCCTCGGTCTCTCAAGTGCAGAGGCTGTCATCACCTGACCCTTTCATGACTCACCCCCTGGAGCATCTTGAATCTCTTGTGTTGGAAATTTCTCTTGTTTTGCTCATTTCGAACTCTTTTAACTTATGATATGAATTTTCTCTGCTGCTTTCATTGCTGTCACTTAGCACTGAGTATTTTATCTTGATTTTCTTCTTGCTGCAGATTTCCTTTATCGTACCATACCAGCTATTTTTTGATGTGCCACCTGGTCCCAGCATCCACGCAGGAAGTGTGGGTGCTTGGCCTTGTCCCCAGAGAGGAAAGTCAAGCAAAAGCAATAGTCCTGGTGATAACCACAGAATTAGAAGCCCCAGTCTCCTGAGGTGCATCTGGGGAGATGGCTGGGAAAGACCAAGCACAGACAGAGCCAAAAATAAAATTAATAGTTAAGATCCTGAGACGGATCGATCCGAAGCAGTCTCTATAATGCAGCTCAAAACAGTGGGGAACAACAGGAAATATTGCCATCAACACAGCATGCTCACAAAGCATTTCAATCAACTGTTCAAACAGTTGTGTTTCTTGGGTCTTTTAAGCTGACCAGGCCCATAACAGATCATTATAGGAGTTTAGCTGGATTAGATGTCCAGTCTCTCACACATGGCAATTCACTCTTCAGTCTCCCTTTCCTTAAGGAATGTATCAGATGGCCCATCGTTACCGTAAAAACCTCACCTGTGTTGCATCTGCGCAGCTGCATCCATACATGGGACTAGTTTATGAGCTGGATCTATCAACAGTTAAATTAACCATTTAAGAATGTATTAACAGTGAACTTGATCAGGCAGCTTGCCTGTTCAACAGGCCTTGTTCTCTTCCTAAGCTGGCTTGTGCCATTGGATGAAAACAATATTTATGAAGTAAACAGCGTTACTCATTGCTCAAGTAGACAGTTCTGAGGCACAAACACCATATGGCCAGAGGAACTTTTCATGAGGCTGACCAATAAGAAAGCCAAGCTGAAAATCAGTGATTTATTGTCCATACCTGTAGATTGTCTACTTCTCATTTCTTTTATGCCTGCTAAATGTTAAGGTGTGATTTTGGTTACTTTCACCCCAATTATGGGCCCCACTGCTGCACCATGACTTCACGAGACTGGCATCAGCCCTTGGCCAACTCTAAGCATGGGAGGCAAATTCCTGGTACAGAAAACTCTTTTCAGAAAAGCAGCACTTGGGTTTGACTGCTCTACCATCACAGCCAAATCACAGGAGCCCCCGGCCAGCCTGGAACCAACACTGACTCAAGGTCATGCTGGAAGGGCAGCAAAGGTAGAAACCTTCATGTCTCCAGGACAAATATGGCCCACAGCTTGCTTTAACAGTACCTAAACCCACATGATTTTTTTCCAACAATTATTTTAAGTAGACCACTAAGTGGTCTGAAGGGCTTTTTCTGCCTTCGCCAGGAGAAAAACTTCCCACTCACAGAGCAGGTGCTGCCTAAATGAGCAGAAAGCACAGATTTTAATTTTAAACCTGGTCAGTTCAGACTGTATGTGAAAACAATGGTCTGAGATGAAATTGGTTTGTGTTGTTTAAGTAAGGCTTGTCCCAGGTTCACTTAAATGCATTTACTTCACACCAAAAAAAATAGTACAATCCAATCTCAGAACAACTGTCACTTTATATAATCACACCTTTAGCTATACCAGTTGAAACCTACGCATTATGTATGGGCATGTTCAAATCCTACAGGCAAATCCGCAGTAAATGTCTATCACATTGCTGATGGGACCTGCCAACCACCAAGAGATCTTTTCCATCTCTACCATTTTGCAGAATCACAATGATGCTGTGGGGACGATGACTTCTCAGTCCAGAGCTAACAGGCATCTCAGAACAAAACCACAATCAAGGCAACTCAACAAAACGAATAGCCTTGATGAGGCAGGAGCAGAAGGCACCACTTACGGCACATCCTTCACAGCTGGAAGCCTATAGAGGAAAACCTCACTGCAGGTACCCAGACTAACTGGTCACTGCCAGTAACTGTTCTGCAGTATTGATGCAACTGGGTCACTATGGCCAGTGGAAATGGAAGTAACCGTTACTGACTACATACTCTGCTTTATAGGCACGTTTCAAATCCTGCAGCACTTTATATACAAGCAAGTGCTTTACCTACCTTGAAAACACTCTGTAAGGATAGTGACCCTTGATAAGGTCTGTTTTACTGATCTAGCAGAAAAACAGGAAAGGGAATGGTTGTCATCTAGCCTAAAAACAACACATCTTCTGCAACTCTAAGAGCCACCTATTAACTGATTGCTGAAAACCAGAATTTCTTCTGTATGAAAGAGAGAATAAGGCTATTAAAGGAATGAAAGTTACCCAGTTTAGCTGAGCTTATGGGCAAAAGACTGCAATCCTTAGAGCTTATCTTTGCTAGAAATCCAGTGAACAGGTAATCATACACACCAAAGCCAATTATCATTTTCCACACTGCCAACAGACTTATATTTCAGACAAGTCAGTTACCACCCAAAGTTAGATTGATAGAAGCTTTAGTCATCCTCAGGTGATCAAAATAATTCTGCAGTGTTCAGAAACACACTAGTGCTTGTTGCTGTCATGGTCTAAGGGCATAGGCAAGACAGGCCAAAAGCAGAGATGGTGTCTTATATGAGAGACTAGAAACACACTTGAAAGTATCTCGGAGCCTGTTAAGCCTCAAAGCTGTATTTTTTCAAGCAGATGCGTTACTCTAATAAAAGATATTCAATGTGCAAAACTCGCTGTGGACAAAGAGTTCTGTGGTTCTGGAGAGCCTGGGGAATATGGAAGAATCACTTCTGAAAGGAAATCATTGCTTATGCACATAAGCTATATAAAGCATATTAATATTTTTCAAATCTCATATTTTAATTCATAGCAAAGAGGAAGGCAAAATTTGTCTGTGGACTGAAGCCTTAAGACTACCTTTATGTTTTATTAAAGATAGTCCACAGTAATCCAAAAACACTCTTTATAGTTACCTTGCATGAGTTACAAGGTTTGGTGCGTGTATTTAAGGGTACTTTTCCTGAGAAAGTCAAGATACTTTGTTTGCAAGCTGGCCTGAACTATTAACACCTATTTACCAGGGTTTGCACTAAACCCCTGTGATTCAGCTGTGAAAAGATCACCAGAAAGACCTCAGCTGGGAGAGGATCTTGCATCCCTACTCTAAGATTTAGCCTTGGAGTACACCCCCAGTGTAGACACCCTTTTCCTGGCCAGCAGGTCAAACAGATCCTCCTTCCAAATGTACCTATGATGAGAGAAATAGCAGGCTTTTTATGACAGCAAGTAGTGATAGGACAATGGGTAATGGCTTTAAACTGACAGAAGGTAGATTCAGGCTAGATATAGGGAACAAGTTCTTTACTGTGAGGGTGATGAGACACTGGCACAGGTTTCCCAGAGAAGCTGTGGCTGCCCCATCCCTGGCAGTGCTCAAGGCCAGGTTGGAAGGGGCTTTGAGGAACCTCCCTCAAAGTGAAGCATCCCTTCCCATGGCAGGGGGTTTAGAACTGGATGATCTTTAAGGTCCCTTCCAAGCCAAACCATTCTATGATTCTATCCAACAACCAATCTTCACTATGACCCGACTGACATAACAAATCCACTGTAGTTATAAATTCGTGGGGGGCAGACCAACTGATTTTACAGCTATTAAACACCAGTGTAATTATTTCATGTCTGAAGTCATGTGAAGGTATCTCTGAGCTACGTTACTCCATGCCATGGGAGACAAGGCTATTACATTTAGCTGTTCTCAAAGCAAGCATGATTGCAATGACACTACGTGCCAATGCAACTATTTATACAGGCACATGCCTGGCACACCCTAGGCTCTGGCATTATCAGAATGCTCTCCAGCACTAGAGACTCACAGCTATTTCCCTTCTCCCTGTAACCAACACTCCCCTTACTACCTCACCTTTTTGCGCCTTATTAGTAGAAATTCATTTCTCCCGGGAAGAGGCATGCCACTCTTGGGAAAGCAAAGCCTTCCCCTCTGGGAAGACAGCTGAAGATCTCATTAAAACCAGCACCAAAGTTATGACTAATTTGAAACCACACATCACCATTATGCAATTAAAATTACTAGGCTATTAGAAGGCACAAAGTTATAACCCAGTGACTATTGTTCTACACAGGAACAAGGCAGGTGAGCAGTTAAGGCTTCCCTGAGGGAAAGGAGGTGCAGGAACTTGAACCTGAAGGATGTGTTGCAGCACACACACAGAGGTCACACTATATTACTCATTGTTAACTCCACAGTAAAACAGATGCCTTGCTACAGGAATAAAACATCCATTTTGCTTTGAAGAGTAGTTTACCTGCGAGTAAGTGCATCCTCCTAGACAAGTCTGGTAAAGAAAGGGAGAGGAAGAAGTAATTTTCTTAAGCCACAAATCCTTAAACGCCAAGAACCAAGAATTCCTTCATACCACAAAAAGCAGACACGGAAAGTAAATTGTGTTCTCTTTTTATGCACAAGAGCTACCAAAGAGAAGCTCCATAACAAAATCTTTGGTGGTTTATTTGTTCTCAAACAAACGAAACTCATCAATATGCATCCTGCTGAACAACTGACCAGCCACATGAAGATGCTGGAGCAAAGAGAAACTCCTCCATTCAAGCCAATCAAGTCCTTCCCTCCTTGTGGGGCAGGCCCAGAGGGCAATGCAGAGTTGTAAAGGTTTTTGCAAGGTTCATGTCTATTGATGAATTTGTCTGCCACACTGGGAGACATTTTGAGGTAACTTGTGTCGAGATGTCAGTAAGACAATGTGCAATGCTGGTGTATGGACACCCTGAGCAATACCTGCACAGCACCAGTCCCAACACAGACCCTGTTTAACCTCAGGCTATCAGCAAAACAAGAGAAAACAAGCAAAAAGGTAGGTTGCATGTTCCTTATGCAACTGTCCTGTAAGTACTGAAGGAGTGAGTGTAGCAAGGAGCAAATACAGGGTTCAAGAGAGAGGCTGGCAGACAGCATACTTACTCCTTTAGCACACACTCTGTGGAAAACATGCACAGCAAAGTCTAAAAGGAACTGGTTTCTGGGACCAGAAGCCCTAAAGGCATTTAAGAATTCCGTGAAGAAATATCGTTAATTAAACCTTACAAAGAGAAATACTATTTTGAAGTTCTCCAAGGTGAAAGAGGATCACTGGAGGAACATGGTGGGAAATGCAAGACCATCTGTGACTACATGACTAGATTATGTTCTGTTAAATCTCCCACTGAACCCTTTGCTCTGCAGAAATCTGGACAAGCAGGATTCAAATAGCTAAACATAAGTGTTCAGTGTCTTTGTGGATGCTCACAAGGTGTCCTATTTAATCATCAGCTGCTGCCCAAGAAGAGGGTGCATCAACTGTAGGTCATGTGTCAAGATGCCAGACTTGTACAGATGTCTTGGATCACCTCAGACACCCCCTTGAAAGAAACTGGCCACCCACATCTGGGCAACTGACCCATGCTGAAGCTGATGGATATGGCCCAGGTAGCACCTTGGCACCACATGCAGTGTGGTGGGATCACTCAGGAGACCCTTCTCCATCTGCAACTTCTCTGCCATGAGTGTGGGTCTTTTTATTTTTGCTCCCCTGTTCTTCAATGCCTATATACACACAAAACGTGAACATTTCTTTAACCATATTAATTAATCAAAGGTTTTTCATTTGACTGATTTTGTTGGGGACTCCCCCCCCCCCCCGCCAAGGTGGGGAAAAAGAATGCTTATAAATGGTGTTTCTAGTCTTAAGTACTGTGTACAGATTTAGCAAGGAATGCAACAAAGATCCAGAGCCAAATACTACGCACCATACTTGTGCATGTAGTTCTCTGAAGTCATGTAGCAGGGTTTGCTTCTCTATCCCAAAAGCTATCCTGCCAAGAAGTTGGGAAATTCCTGTAGGACACATAGCCATGCTTTCCTCTTAGTGCTTTTAATAGGAGAGGAAGAAAAAAGTTGCTGACTTATTTTTCTGACATAATAAAAAGATGCAAAATGTTTAACAAGAAGAAAGAAAAATCACAATAGCTTAAATTAACCAGATCTCTTTTACTTCTCTGCTTACGGAAGCCAAAAGTTTATGCATGCTATGTACCACATGCACGGAAATAAGATCCATGTGATACATTGCAGAGCTATGATACATCAAATTTGTCACCTGCCCTATCTTACCTACCTAATCCCAGGAAGTAAGGAACACCTCCAGAACATTTGCGGAGCAAATGTTCACAACCTTTTTACTTTGGGATTCATTGTAGTGGTTTGTGTGTGTTTTGTGGTTTTTTTTTTTTTGTTTGTAGTTTTTCATTGTTATTGTTTTGGTTTGTTTGTTTTAAATCAGCCTTCCAGAGAAGCATTTCCTTCTTTCACATGGAGAAATTACAAAACCATATGAAGAGAAGGTTATGGTAGCCCAAAATGACGGCAATTAGGAAAAGCATCAAGCAAAAATTGACTAAAATGGGGCTACAAGACAGACTCAGCCCTCTGTGGTCAGAGAGGCCCAACTTCTGTGTTGATACCTTCAACTGCATCTTTTACCCCACAGAATTGGAGGACCAGCAGAAGGGCAGGCAGAGGGAAACACCACAGTGAAGCAAACGTATTTGGTACCAGGAGGTGCAGACCCTCAGGCCAACTGCAGTGTTGCTATATGGCAGAGGCAATAAGCAGGCAGGGAAAGGAAGGAAGGAAGGAAGCAAGCATCAAGGAAAGGTGCTCTAGGAAAGCTCAACTAGGAACAGGATGCAGGAATCTTTAAAATTATGACTCCCATAACCCCTTCTGGGCAGAAAAGAGCTGTTTGGTAAGAGACCCACATGCAGCAGCAATTTAAGGCCTAGAAATCTCTGGGAATGTAGCCTTCACCCTTGTGATGTTCTGGTCCTCATCTGTTCACCTTGCATCAGTCACATCACCAGTTCTGCCTAGACAGCGACACACTGCCAAGAGGTCACATCACATGTTTACCAACCGCTGGATTGATTTAATGCTACACCTCCTCTTATGCCTGAGAATTACTGTTTGACCCAAATCGCCAGTGGTTTTTGCTTTGTATAGCACTGTGCTTGGGAGCAGTGGAGTGTGGAACACAGCAGGGCAGTGGTCATGTCTGACCTGTACACTGCGTCCATGCTAAAAGCATCACAGTAGGGTGGACACGTGATGATCACAGAACTAGCTTAAGCAGGTACACCAGGGCTGCCTAAAGGTGCTGCCCTGAAATAGCTATTCTTCAGGAGTTAATGCAGGAAAGCATAGTTGAAAACTACTTGTAAGTGTATTGGAAGGTGAAAAAGAGAGTCCTTAAAGAGGAAATGCAATGTTTACCGAGCTCTGCCTGCAAGGCAGGAAACACGGGAAAACCAGAAAACAAAGTCTGCTGAGATATGACCCAGGCAGTATTTCATGAAACACAGTAACGTGGTGAAATTATGCTACTCCAGCTTTCTGATGGGTTATCCCCGACTGACCGTACCATAAACATTCCTGACCGATTGTACCATTCAGAAAAACAACCCAACCCCCAAACCAATACATCATTCAATAAATCGCTATCTTACCCAAATACAAAAATCTCTGCAGCAGATTCCACCACAAAACAGCTAATTCTAGGAAACAGTATCTGCAAGCTGGCAGCTGCTGTTTTGCAGTGGTACAGAAGCACAAATCCTTAATTCCAAAAGCTCAGCTAATAGCAGTTAACAGCAGCTAAGCTATAGAGACATAAATGAAACAGGAACCACAATACCGATACAAATTATAATGAATTGTCCACTTGTATGAACACTTTGAGGAACTTTATTAAACAACTATTTCTGCCTATGTTCACAAATAGCATCTTGTTTTCTATTTCGTAAGTTCACTGGGACCACATTACTGCCTTTTTGCCTATACTTGCACTGCTCCTACCATGGGGCACAAGTAATGAGGCTTCTAGGTGCAACTGTCTCCTAATTACACTATAGCACTGGAGACATTATGTTGTTAGTACCTTAGTAGTAATATTTTCAGAACATTTTTCTCCTTTAAAAAAATACTTAAGTATCATTATTTTGCAATTAAAATTTTAAATCATAATAACCTACAATAAAGGTAATACTTACAAGGATTTATATTAACACAAGAATTGTGTA